TTAAACATTAAAAAGTAGCCAAGAAAATTTAGTTCAAGTCGATTTTTTTTGCCAATAATTCTTGATTTAAGTCTAGTCCTTAGAGAATCGTCTAGTTCATGTCCAATCCATGAGTTAGTAGACCTACCTATTTATTTAATTTTTAATTAGTAAATATATATTTTTTAAAAATTTATAACAAAAATAGAAATATGTACATATTTGTTTGGTATATTTATTAACAATTTTAAAATTAATTAAGAAATTATGTTCTTATTCTTAAAAGGATAAATTACATTGCTAATCCCTATATTTTAACTCTTGTATTATTTTTTGTCCTTACAATTTTAATTTGCTCAATTTTAACCCTAAATTTATAATTTTGTCTCAATTTGGTCTAATTGTTATAATTGCTGTCATGTCGGACCGATGTAGCAGACACTGTGTGGTCGTGTCAGACCGATGTAGAAGACAGTTTATGGGGTCATGTCGGACCGGTGTAGCAAAGGTTGTGGTGGTGCACCAAGGGGGCGACTTAGGGAGTGCGCCATGAGCGACTTATACATGATACTGTGTATAACCCCCCCTCAAACTCAAATAGGTGTGAAGATAGAAACCTATTTGAGGTTGAAAAGGATTGATAAAGCTGACCGGTGTAGAAGACACGGTATGAGTGTGTATACAGGCTGCCCAAAAAATATACATGGATGTAGATATCAAGCCCTCAAAAGTCGTGCCCTCAAAAGGTGTGCCCAATCTGTCAAAAGGCGTGCCATCAAAAGGTGTGCCCGATGCATTAAAAGGCGTGCCAGATATGATGGCGAGGCACGTGAGTGCCTTGGCTGGCGTGCCCGTTTTTCGTCTGGCGTCAAGTGGCGCGCGATACGCGTGGCTGACTCGGCTATTTAACCAAGACGGAGGCAGAGGCCGAGGCAGAGGCAAAAAAACCTGCGAAATCCTCTGAAAAACTCTTCGTTGTGCTGAGAGAGAGAGTCTGTAACACTCTATTGCGAGAGATATTCTGTAACACTCTGTTGCCCAGAAAATGGCCTTGTCTTCCCGGAGTCTGCTCACTCTCTTTCCAGACCTCAACGAGTCAACAAGAGAGAAAACTGGTGCGGTGGCACTGGAACCTCAACCAAGCGCCCCGGAGTTTGCTCCGTTGAACTTTCCGATGCGGTCTGTAGAGCAAAAAATGGCGGTGTAGTCGGATGTGGAGGCCAATCAGTATACATTGAAGTCATGTGTGGAAACCATGACGGCAGTCACAAACTTGTCGAACCGGCTGCAAAGTAGGACAAATGAGGTGCAGCAGTTAAACGCCCAGCTGGCTCTGCTCCAATGCATGTATAAGGATGCACGAGCAGAGATAAGTGTGCTACATGACGGCGGTCACAAACTTGTCAAACCGGCTGCAGAGTAGAACAAATGAGGTGCAGCATTTAAACGCCCAACTGGCTCTGCTCCAACGCATGTATAAGGATGCGCGAGCAGAGATAAGTGTTCTAAAGGCGGAAAACAAGGATCTGAAACGGAAGGCCACCGTGATGTTCCGATTTGGAGGTCCGCCATATGCTGCAGTGGAGGGGCAGGGAGGAGGGAACGTGCTCGGCGGCGTGGGGAACACGGAGGCAGCACTGGCAAGGGCCGCCCAGGACGGAGGCAAAAAGAAGAGACCGGCGGAATAGGCGAAGAAGTGAGGTCGGTTGGTGGCCGGCTGCAGAAAAGAAAACAAAGATGTTGTTGTTTTTTGTTTTTTTTTTGTGTAAAATTATGATCGGGGTTGATCCCGGAGATGAATAAAATATGGGTGTTGTGCAAATTTGTAAATTTGTTTGATTTTTTTTTTTTTTAATAAAAAGAGATATATATATATATAATAAAGAAAGTTGGGAACAATATGATAAGTGTGTATCTTAAAATGATAAATAAAAGAAAGTTGAAGACATCCGGATAGCGGTGTGTATGGATGTGATAATGAGAGTGAAACAATCTCAGTGGAGGTGATTAAATAAATAAAAGAAGAATGAGTGTGGACTGTGAGAGGTTGGAGAGAGACACTGACTGAAAGTTTTGATAGTGGGAAATATAGGTGTGATTAAAGAAAGAAATAAATAAAAAGGAAAGAAGAATGGGTTTGAAGCAACTGGGAATATCAACAGGGCTTAAAATGTGGTCGATGAAGATGTGTTTGGCTTCGGCGTGAACAAATGCGATGCCAGAGTCATTGCAGAGGATGTGGAGGTGGCCAGAGGGGTCGGTGGAGAAGCGGCCGGCGAGGGTTCTTCCACCCCTACACCAACGATGGCGGCTGCGGAGAGAGAGTTCTGTGGTGCGCCGTCAAGGCCATTCAATCTAATCTCGACTGCGTCGTCTACACCGGCGATCATGATGCTAATTGAAAGAGAAGAACCCACCTTCGAAAGGAAGCTCGCCAGCATCAATGAGTTTTGGGACGCAGAAGTAAGTCCAAAGACCGCAAGGACTAATAGTATCAAAATACATCAGAGGAATTCCAACTTCTTCAGCAATTTCAAAGCTGAAATTCAAAACCCCATCTGCAATAATACAAGTCACCGGCCTCCCTATCCCAGAACTCAACATCTCCTTAAAAAGTGGTTTTGTTACAGTCTCCAAAGAATCAAACAGGTCCATGAATCGGTCGCCGGATCTCGGGTGGTCTTCGGGGAGGCCATCGGAGATGGTTTCGAAGCGGAATTGAGGGTAGGTTGCGAAGCGGGATTGGATGTCGGTGTAGAGGAGAAGACGACGGTGGTTGTGGTCGGTGTTGAGGAAGGTGACGTGGAGATCGGGGGCGAGGCAGAGAAGCTCGGCTAGCTTGAGCATGCATTTGATGGGTCCTTGGATTGGTAAGGGGAAGATGAGTGCATGAGGTGAGGCTGAGCTTTGTTCCATGGAATTGGCTTTTGGAATTTTCTGTGAGATTTGGTTCAAAACTCAGATCGAGACTTGTCAAGTGTTTGTAAAACCAAGGGTTTGGTATCATGTCTGATAACCTGAACCTGTGGAAAAAGACTTGTATGTTTGGGATAACTTTTTGGCTAATTACGAAAAGATGTGTAAAAAGTAGAGAGAAAAGAGAATATTTGACTTTTTGGTATGGATTGTTGACTTTTTGACTAATTTAATAATTTTTTGACTAATTAACTAAAATAACCTCTTGCCAAACGAGACCTAAATGCACGCTTGAGATTAATAGTCACATATTACATTGTCCCCTTCATTACCGTTAGTAAAGTTAACATATATTGTATTTTACAAAATGCCAATTTTACCCTTAGATTCACAGGCCCAATCTTTCCATCTTCCATCGTTTTCATCATTTTCAACTCTTTGCAAATGGGTCCAAACCCCACCATTTTTTCAAGAATCACCGTTACCACTCAGAAGAATCATCATTGCAGCACCACCAATAATCAAACAAGCATTTCCACCACAACCCCAATAATGGAATAATAAAAGTAGTTCTTTGAAGCAATTAATCAAACATGTGTTGTGCATACACCTGCGACTACCCCACTAATTCAAGAATCAAGCTATTCACTTGCTTTTTGAAGACCCTATTATCAAGATGGTCTCATCGTCAAACTATGAAAAGCGCAAGGTGGTAGTGGAGGTGGTAGGTGGAGTGAGTGGTAGTGGAGGTGGTAAGTGGGTGGTAGTTTACATTTTACAATTTACATTTTACATTAACAGAGACTTTGGGTCCTGGTCTTGATCTGTGGAGATCATCTCTGGTTGCCTCCAAGTCGGATTGTCTGGTATTAATCATATAAAATTTAATTTTAAACTTCTATTCTGTTGATCTTGGTCGTTTATGATAGTGTGTGGGAGGGAGAAGATGCTGATGGTGTAGGTGGTGGGATGAAGGTAGAGGGGGAAAGTGGCAGTGGTTTATGAATTACATTTTTTTTTCTCAGACCAAGAATTTATCATCCATGGTAGATTTGAGACTCTAAGGATTTGCATGTTGATGAATTTGATGGCCTTAGTGGAGACGAGCATGGCTGCGTGATTGGGATTTGGGTGTTGATTTGGTAGAAGTGATACAGATAGGGCAGAGGTGTGAACTTCTCAAAATCAACTGGTGGTAAGAGTTAGGCCTCATTGGGATTAAATATTTTAGTCAAAAAATTATTATAAAGGCTAAATTATAAATATATTTATTGAGATTTGTTAAAAATATTAATTGCTTCTTGTGATTTGAAAAATTACAAATACTTCACTGTCAGAATTTTTTATTTAATAAAATTAATTAAAAAAATAAAATTTCTAACTGTTCACCTATACAGTAATAAAATTATTTGAATTATTAATTGAAATAAAATTTTAACATTATTAAAAAATGTTAATTAACTTAATGATTTATTAATAAAATGACCTATTTGTTATGAAATAAGAAATCTTTAGAGACATAATGTAATTTCTAAAACTACAGAATAATTTGTAATTTAAATAAACTTCAGAGGGTGTGTTTGTAATTTACCTTATTATAAATTATTATATCACTCTTTTAATTTTTTTTACACATTTTTCGTAAAAAAAAAATAATTATTAAAATGACTTGTTGGGGGGGGGGAAGAGGAAGACTATTAGCGGAGGTGTTGAGGCTAATATTGTAATTTTATTTTAAACGATATGGGTAACAAGATAATTTTATATTTTACTGTTAACTTAGTTAAAAGGTAAATTTTGACAGGAGTGCAGTGTAATTTTTGAAAAGTGAAGAGAAAATCTGCATTAAATTCAAATTTTAGATGTGACAGATAAATTTACCCTTGCTTTTTTTTAAAGCTAAAGGGAGATCATGTAATAATAACAATAATAAATGAATAAATAATTTACTAATATAACACTATTTTAGTGTGAGCAATTCAATGGAGATTATTATAACAACAATGCTAAGTATCATAAAATTTTTTTCATAAAAATAATCATGAAAAATTTGTAATTTTTGAATTACATTAAGAATAAAGTACCACACACTAATCAAGGTAATCTAACGGTCACAAATTTTTTATGATCATTTTCATGAAAATTTTTTCATGATCCTCTTATTATAAATGCTACACAAACAGAAAAATAGGCAACATCATATTGGTTGCTTTCCAATACTTTTGATTTAGTTTTGAAACATATATATTTCAATAACATAATAATAACATTAGCCTGAAAATACTTGCAATATATGCGTTCACAAGGAAGATGTGATGAACGTGGAATTGTTAGCTGTAGCGATCAGTTGTTGATCAGACTTAAGCATACCCTCAATTTCAGTAACAAATCTTTCCATGGCTTGGGTGGGCAAGCAAAAAGGAACCACAATTCCATGCTCGCCTTTCTTATTCGTAAAAGGAATATAAAAGCTTGCAACACCAGGAATGGCCCCAACACCGCCCTTTGCCGGGCCACCATAAGCTGCTTTACCCCATCCAAAATCTACCTCATCAAACCCGGCACGGGTCACATCAGACGCTAGAAAGGTCCTCACCACCGTGAAGTGAGGTCTTCCTTTAAGAACCATCAGGTCTGCCAGTGATCTCATATACTCTTGTGTAACATCAGCCTTAGCCTTCATGACCAACTTAAGTGCATATCCCAAAGGGTTCTGGCACAACTTTCCAGCAGTTGATATGGCCACGGGGAACGCAAAGGCATTGCCGTAGTATCCAGTAGGAAGGGGTGGGTTGAACTTGCTGCGTGCACTAACAATGCAGAGAATGCGCACTTCTTCCTCCGGGTCAGGTTGGAGGGCGATAGTACGACATCTCCAGAGGCAAGCGGTGAGCACTTCAAAGGTAGAACAGTTGCGAAGGTGGGGAGGGACGAACTTGCGAAGCGCGGAGACCTCAGTGGGGCCGAAAAAGAAAGACCGGTGAGCCATGTCATCTAGGGGAATGATGGTACCATTAGTGTCAGGGACTTGGTCGTACTCGCGGTGTGTGCATGTCACGCGTGGTGGGTCTCTAGCACAGAGCAAGTCCCTCTTCCAAACTGGTTGCACCGATGGGGAAGATGCACCTCGGGCCATTTCGCCTACTGCCATCATGAATTGAACTAGTCCAGGGGCATCGCTCATGGTGTGATTCAAGCGCAAAGCGAAGATGAAACCATTGCACCTCAGACGGGTCACCTAAATCAATCAATTATTTGACAATAATAAGCCAATTACCATTAGGGAGCATTTGGGAATGAGCAATGCTACTTATCATGAAAAAACTTTCATGAAAATGATCATGAAAAATTTATGATCCTTGGATTACACTTAAATTAAAACATCACACACTAATCAAGGTAATCCAAGGGTCATAAATTTTTCATGATCAGTTTCATGAAAGTTTTTTCATGATCCCTATCTTTTCTCTTTGGGAATAAAGTTAAAATTTTTACACCTCGGGTAAAAAGTCAAAATTTGACTTTTTTTTACATTAAAATCATTTGGAAAGGTTGCTAAAAGCTACTTGTGAAATTACAACTATACCCTCTATGGGTCAAAATGAGCTATATAAGGCAAAATGTAAATTTTCTAAATTAAGTAGGGGTATTTTGGTCATTTGATTATGATCTGACAGTATAAACAAATATTAAGTAAAAAAGTCAAAAAATAGTTTTTTACCAACTTTTAAAATAATTTTCTAAAAAAACTAAACATCTTAATTAAAAGTTAAAAGCTAATTTTTAACCATCTTTTCAAAACACTCCTGCGGACTATTATATTCACAGGATTTGTTTTGTTATTTTATTTTATGTGGGCAATTTAATTTAATTTATTTTTTTAAGGTTTGATTTTATAAGTGAGCGTACTTATATGATATCGGGGGATGTTAATTAATTAATTATTTTTTTAAAAAAAATGTATTAATAATAAGAAACCTATTAAGAAAGGAGGAGGATTCTCTCTAGTATAAAATCCAGATTAGAGGGGGCTGTTTGTGCCCATAAGGCTCATTACGGATCCTATTTAGATGAATAGTTGATTTTGTTAGGCAACCTGTATATTTCATTCATAAATTAAAAAAAAAATTAGATCAATCTAATAATTGTATCTTGCCTAATTTATCGTGTTTTTCACTAAAAAAAAATGAACGACAATTATTCTTTTAAAAAATGAACCACACATTTTTTTTGATGATGAAAACAATAAATATCGGGGGATGTTAATTAATTAATTATTTTTTTAAAAAAAATGTATTAATAATAAGAAACCTATTAAGAAAGGAGGAGGATTCTCTCTAGTATAAAATCCAGATTAGAGGGGGCTGTTTGTGCCCATAAGGCTCATTACGGATCCTATTTAGATGAATAGTTGATTTTGTTAGGCAACCTGTATATTTCATTCATAAATTAAAAAAAAAATTAGATCAATCTAATAATTGTATCTTGCCTAATTTATCGTGTTTTTCACTTAAAAAAAATGAACGACAATTATTCTTTTAAAAAATGAACCACACATTTTTTTTGATGATGAAATCAATAAATTTAACAAGTTGCAATTATCAAATCAATCTTATTTTTTATAAATAAAATACACAAAATACTTGACAAAATAAACGATTTAAATTATTAAAATAAAATCATAGTTGCTTCACGAATTTCTTAAATTTAAAATAATAATTATGAATTTATATTGAAAGTCCCGGCTGCCGGGAATAGTAGGTACCTGAATAAGGAGTAAAGGGCAGTTTAGGACGGCAGTGGAGCCGGGGGGATCAAAAAGGAGCTCCTCCAAACAGGGGAAGGGAGGTTGTAGAGCGTCACCGAAGTGGTCAAGAGTAACATCAGCGTCAGCCTCGATGAACATGACACCTTCACCAGTACAGTCTACCATAAGCTTGCGGTCAGGTCCTTCCCTCAGCCTACCCGCGAACGGGTAGTAGAACACAAGCGTTTCTGCAATTGCCTCTCGGATGACCTTCACTGGGTCTTTGTCTCCCATCGACGAATCATAACGATAAAACTGTATCACTGGGATCTGAAACCGAAGACCTTCTTGGTCATCGATGTCTGACAGCAGTTTGTATTCATGAGGTGTGGGCTTTGCCGGAGTTACCAGCTCTGCTGTCTTCCTTCTCACTGTGAACACTAAAGAACTATTACTTGTTGTTGGTACCATTTTTAAGAGGAATTTGGGTCGTACTTTGTTGTTGTTTGTTTTAGCAGCTTCACGGGACACACCAGTATATATAGAAAGTGTAGACACCATCATAGATGGATGGATGGATGGTGGTGTATGTATGTCGTGTGTGTGCGTGTGCGTGTGTGTCCCCATCTGTGTGAATTGTAGATGAGAAAGTGGGATTCACATAGTGCATATTTGAAAATTTAAAAATGTAGATGAGAAAGTGGGATTCACATAGTGCATATTTGAAAATTTGTTTTTAAATTAAGGATAAATTATAAATACACTCCTGAGCTTTACTTAGGTCAAGTTTGGGAAGTCTTAAAAAAGTCAAAAAGTTATTTAAAAAGTTAAAAATTTATCACTATTCACCAAAAGTCAACAATTACGGCTGTACAATTCTCAATACTAATTTTCCTCTACACATTAATTTATACAATTTTTTAATACACATTTTTTCATAAAAAGTCAAAAAGTTAACCCAAACATTCATATTTTCAATTTCAACTTTTTAGTCTAAAAAGACAAAAAATGCACTTATTTAAGACATCCCAAACAACCCCTTAAAGTATAGATTATTTTTTGTGGTTTAAAAAAATATAAATGTCTTAAAAAAGTCAAAAAGTTATTCAAAAAGTTAAAAAGTTATCACTATTCACCAAAAGTCAACAATTACGGCTGCACAATTCCCAATACTAATTTTTCTCTACACATTAATTTATACAATTTTTTAATACATATTTTTTCATAAAAAGTCAAAAAGTTAACCCAAACATTCATGTTTTCAATCTCAACTTTTTAGTCTAAAAAGATAAAAAATGCACTTATTTAAGACATCCCAAACAACCCCTTAAAGTATAGATTATTTTTTGTGGTTTAAAAAAATATAAATATCTCATTGTTAATTTTTTTTTATTTAACAAAATTAACTAAAAAAACGAAATTTATAATTGCTCTCCTATATAATAATAAAATTACTTAAATTATTAATTGAAATATATTTATAACATCATTAAAAACTACTAATTGACTTGATGATTTTTTAATAAAAGGGGCAATTTGTTATGAAATTAGAAACCTCAAGGGTGAAATGTAATTTCTAAAATCACAGGGACCGATTCGTATTTTAATCAAACTTCAGAAAGTGTATTTGTAATTTACCCTTAAATTAATAATAAATTTTATAAATATTAAAAAATAAAATTATAAAATTTACTATATGTTTATAATTATTTTTTGGGTAAATTACAAACACTCCTGAGGTTTACTTAAATTACAAATTACTCCTGTAGTTTTAAAAATTACATTATGTTCCCTATGAGTTCTAATTTCATAACAAATAGATCATTTTATTAATAAATCATCAATTAATTAACAGTTTTTAATAATATTAAATTTTTTTCAATTAATAATTTAGATAATTTTATTATTGTATAAGTGAACAGTTAGAAATTTCATTTTTTAATTAATTATGTTAAATAAAAAATTTGATAGAGAAATGTTTATAATTTTCTAAACTATAAAGAATAATTTATATTTTAAACAAAATTTAGAATATGTATTTTTAATTTACCTTTATTTTTTAAAGATACCACGAACGAGTAATTTCACCAAAATTTTATGACAAAATAGAAGGAAATATGCCGAGACCGAGAAGTGTGGAAGACCAGAGTGGCCAACAACTTTTTATTTTTTATTTTTTATTTTTTTGTGGTTTATATATTGCGGTGGTGGTTGAAGAAAGGCGCATTTGTAAGTTTCTCGGCTGCTACGACCGGATTGACTCTCAATAATGGACCTGAGCTGATCAGTTGGCTGGCTTCTGGCTCAGAGCGCAGTGCAGCTTCTTCTTTTCTTTTTTTTTTTTCTTTTTTTTTTTTGCGAAATAAGACAGGAGATATATATATATATATATAATGTTTTCTAGCTTTAAAAAAGAAGATTGCTTGCTTGATGACAAATTTTCCAACTCACACAGGAAAGAGAGAGAGAGTAAAAGCAAAAGCAAGGGTTTTGAGCTCCTTTAATTATGGCGAAAATTGCACACACTCATCGTCAAAATTTTTGTGATTTGAATTACTTAAATATATTAAAATGATATTATTTTACTCTTAAAACAATATTATTATGAGACATTTGAATTAACGGGTCATGAAAATTCAGATTACTAAGTATTGTTGTGTATATATATATATATATAGGCCTGTGTATTTTTTTTTTAATTTTAAGGTAATGTTTGTTTGATGAAAGAAAATATAGTTAAATAATCATTTATCTAAGGTTTATATCCTTAATAATATATAGAAAAGTTTATGAAAAAATTAGTAAAATATTTCTCTTCAATTTTGGATAGTAGAAGATATTCAATATGTTTTTTCTTATTAGCTAAAGTTTATTAATAATATTATTAGAAAAATTTAATCTCGTTATACAGAAATTTTAGCTCTTCAAGCGTGAAGAGTTGAAGTTACAAAGAAATTTTTCTATGAAGAACTAAACATTTATCTATTTCTGTGAAAATGTTGAGAGACCCCAACAATTATAAAAATATTACATTTCTTTTATCTTATAAAATTCTAATATCATGGACTTTAAATTAAAAATTCCAAAATCTATATCCTTAATAATTAAAATTTGTAAAGTTTATCATCAATTTGAATTTTTTTTCTTCAAAATAGTCCCTAATATGTTATTCTCCAAAATTTTTACGATACATACTTTTTAAAAAATGTGCATTATATATATTATTATTATGTATTTTTGTGATAAATATTACGTATTTTTTAATAGAAATACGATCATATGTAATTTAGAAGTGAAATTACGTATTTTTAATAATGTTATTTTTTTGTGATAATGTTACATATTTTTTATTAGAAAATATTTGAATAAAAAATAATATAACATTATCACAAAAATAAATAATTTCATTTTTAAATCATAAAGTATTATAAGTCAATAAAAAAATAATATTTATCACAAAATAAGTAATATATATATATATATATATTATAAAAATATATAATAAAAGTGTATATAGTACGCACCGGGGAATAGACATTGGCCCCGTTTGATAGAGTTGTGGGAAAGTGATTATACCTTATAGCCTAACAGCTTATGCCTTATAACTGTAAACATAAGCTGATTTTTTACTTATAAATTAAGTTTCTCATTCGCCACTCAAAGAATAAGTTGATTTTTGACTTACAAAAAGCTATAAGCTGTATTGTTAAACTGAACTAAACATATTAAAATAACTTAAATTAAACTAAAAATTAAAATAAACTGAAAATAAACCCTACCAAATAGAGCTGTTACCTACCAATCGAGTATTATGAGCGCATGGGTTGGGCCGGGAGGATTATTGGCCTTCAACAACGGATAAATAATTGATAATTTGACTTTACTGTCCGCACCATTCCTCTCAATAATTGTGGATCCCTAATTTTTTAAAGGGTGTTACCATATGATTTTTTTAAACAGTTAATTAAATCAAAATTAATTAATTTAAGAAAAATTTGGCCAACAACCTATCGTTTGGACATATTCGTGTCGTCAAACTTTTTTTTGTGATGTAACACTTTTCAGTTGGTAAGTTTAAACAGGTAATGACAACTATAATTCTTGATTTATTTATTTTTTATGTATATTTTGTAATTTTCTTTAAATACTATAACTTTAATTACATACATCCGTTTTAATGCATCATAACAAAATTTATTTTTAATAAAATTTATATTTTTAAATTCATCTTTTCGAAATCTTTAAAATAAGACTTATATATTGAATATAAAAATTTTAAAGACCAAAAAATTAGTATGCATTAGTATATATTAGTATATCATGCAAAGTACGGTTCAATATGTATTATGATCTATGCAAAAAAAGTATAAATTTAAATGCAAAACAATATTTTTTTTTGTGTGCAATAAATGAATAGATCATGAAAAAATACATGAAATTAAAAAAAAAAAAAAATCCAAAACAGACTACTGAGTGCAAAGTTATAGCTTGTTGAAATTTCAACACTATTTAAATATAAACTTTTATTTTTTAATTTATGAAATAGACAAATATATGTTTGCATCTCATTTTTGTAATTTAAAAAAGTTTTAAAAGTACAACATATATAGCACATATAATGCATAGATGAGTAACAGATAATGCATAATTTAAAAAAGTTTTAAAAGTACAACATATATAGCACATATAATGCATAGATGAGTAACAGATAATGCACAAATAGCACATATAGACAACATATAATGTACAAATAGCACAAAGATATGCTACAAATAATTCGTAGATAGCACAAATAAATAACAAATAAACCAATTTATCCAAAAAAAAATTAATTTAAATGTGCATGATAGACTTAATTGTTTATAAAAGTTGCCGGTGGCAGCAAATATTGGCGTGAGATGGTTGGCATAGAAGGTGATTTGTTACTATAGTTTTATATGGTTTTTTAAATTGTAATTATTCTTATGGTTTGAAAAAGAATAAAATTGATCAGTTGATCAAGTTTCAAAATTTGATTTATAGCATAAGTGTTAGCCAAAATGAAACCTAAGAAGGGGTGAATTAGGTTTCTACAAATTGAAATTAATAATACCCTAATAAAATTAACTACTAGTACAACAAATTATTAACAAGTACAATGATGAACTTAGCAGTAAATGATCAAGTAAAATAACAATGAAGTATAACTAACATATAGAGTAAATCAAATGATTAACACATAAATATTAGATAGCTATAGCAGTAGTAGGAAAGTAAGGAGATTAGGGAAGAGGAGACAAACAGATTTATAGTGGTTCGGCTTCAACCAAGCCTCCATCCACTCCTCAAGCTTCACTTGAAATTTTTCACTATCTTCTAGCTTCACAGAGGTGCTAGCAACCTCTTTACAAATGGAGCAATCCTCCACATATTTTATACAGACTTCACAAGCCTAAACCCTTGCAAATCTTAGGTGATTCACAATCACTATCAAGATTTCAAGAATACAATGTTTGCAATATTTTTACAAGATGAAATGATATTTTTACTT